ACAGCTGCACTGCACCGTGATTCACACGTCTCTGAGGACCTGAGGTCATGTATAGATTAGAAGCTCTGATGGAAGGGCGGCTGGGTGGGGAGGGGGGGCTCAATATGGCAGGACAGACACAGGCGTAATGGAGAACGAGCAGCTGCTGTGTCACTCCGGCGATACCAACCTCCGCAAAACACCCGCTGCATGAGGGCCACCTCACACGGGGGGGCGGATCATCGTGGGATATGCATCCTCAAAAACCAAGAGGAGATTTACTCCCCTTCCAGGGTGTCGTAGAGTCCGGCAGAGAATCCACACTCTGGGAAAACTGAATTCCAGAGTGAGAGCGCAGTTGTGCCCAGTCACCAGAAGCAACAGATGTGGTTTGACTGCACGGCCATGCTGCCTGGCCATTATGGTGCCTGCCGTCTAAGGTGGCAGATGAGGAATGTAACGGCATCACCTTTTGACGGACTCCGATCTCTAGTGCTTATGTAAAACACCCAAAGCTCCAGTTATGGGATATAAATTGGCTACCTCTTCGCGCAGCTTTGGAGGAGAGTGTCAGCTGGACCTAGCAGCAAACCAGTGTGAAGTGGACACGCTCTCCGCGGATCGGAAAACCCGTGCCTCCTGCCCGGCCGGCACTCAGCAGGCAAACGCCGTGCCGTTTTGACAGACGCGCTGATGCTCGTCAGGAGATACGGGTCATCGCGTTACAACCTATTATGGAAGCGGTCAAACCGAGTGTCGCCCGGCAACAGCAAATAGGCACGGCTCTTCCATTCTCTGCACCAGGGTCTGTCACCACGAGTGTGACAGGATGGGTTCAGCCTCACTCCAGCATTGTCTTCTTTCCAGCTCTCAAGGTCCCCCTAACTCCCTGAGTACCTAATAACTGTCACTTTACATCCTGCTGAATGGCACGTATACCTATGGCCACCTGTAGGCCGCATGAAGCACAGTGCAGAAACAGGAGAACAAAGGGATGTGATGCAGCATCAGTGCAAATACTTAATTCCTTCCATCCATCCATCTAATTTCTATACATGCTTTTCATACAGAATTGCAGGGGGTCTGGAGTCTATCCTGGAAGCCATGGACACAAGGTGTGGAATACCTACTGCAGGGCACACAGACCATTCACATACATGTACACGTTCCATTTATTTCAAATTGTTCTAATTTTTTTTTTTTCCATCTTTGAACTAAAGTTAATCTGCAGTTTTAGAAAACAGTCAGTTATGTTCATATTAAACGTCAAGGGGACAAAAAATGGGAGAGATGGGACAGGATTACAGGGGGCTTTATAAAGGTTATACTCATCTACTATTTCTCATTTTGTTTAGGTGTTTGTATCTATAGGAGCTGTCACATGTGCTGACATCACAGCTCAGTTAGTCTGTGATTGGATGATATAGATCATGTGACAGAAGCTCTGAGCTCTGGGCCCGTGATACAAGAACACAGCAGGTGGCCTCAGAGGGCTGTGGCAGTAAAGGGTGAAGTACCGCGTTTTATTTGTTCCTTCGGCAAGGGGGCCGCTCTGTGGCACCCCCCAGCACCATCACCACACAAAAAGAGGTGGGTCGAGACCATGGAAACAGCCTGTCAGGTTTCTGCTAACCACCCTAATTAGAAGACGACGTGTCTGGCATGAGGCAGCTGCGCGAGGACCGTCAGGAAAACGGTGCTGACGAGATCATGGTCATTAGACATCATCCCATCAGGAAGCGAGCCCACGGCGATCTCCCGGCGCGCGACTGCGACAAAGAGCGGCTACCACAGGCCCCAGCCAGACAGGAAGCTGAGTGCCGCCAGGGACTGCCCGCCCCCTTTGGCTCCCAGCCAGAAACAGCTCGCCATCACATGTTAAATGCACTCAGATTTGGGTTTGGGGGGGGAGGTAAAACTGCACAGGATCCCTCCCCAGTCAAACAACATCAGAAAGAGCAGAGTTAAGCGTGTCTGGACTCACTGGTGGCCCGGCCTGTCTTACAGCTTAACTGTTTAACTCTTATTGCTTGGCTGGAAATCTCCTACCTGCTGTTTTTTGTGTAAATCACTGTCCCAGCGACTGCAGATTACCTTCCATAAGGTTTTAGGGTATCGCCAACGTCACACCTAGAATGGATGGATGTCTGGCCTCCATCTGGCTGCTTTGGGTTTATTTTACTTAAACAATTATGGTCAAAATGATAAATACAATAAAATGCAGACCCCCCCCCCCTCTAATTACAGTACTACAATATTTAAGCACATTTTCAGCACAAATATTTTTTTAAATCTATAAAATAAAGTCTACATGAAACAAAGACATGCCAAATCTTCTTTCTTCAGGCCTTCAGCATGTTATCAGTTAGCACTGGCTATTAATGTGCATTCTGTTTATAGCCCTTACATGGATTCTGGGATTTCCTGTCAGCATTAATTCACCTGCGACTGGCAGACGTAGTGTATCATGCGCCATGTGACTGTAAGGTAAACATTATGTTGAAAATAGTAATGCGTGAAAATTCAACGGCTGCAAAAAGCACCAGTGAAGTTAGTTTTAGTAGCTCCACCTTGTGGCAGGTCGCACAAATACACGTTAAAAGCATACAGTTCTATTTGGCTTTTGTAGTCTTCAGCTGGATGTGCAGTACTGAATTGAGGCTGTGAAGGAAAAAGTAGATATTCTGATTCACAACATTGTTATTCATATATAGCAGTTTGCCCAGCTTCACTGGCAGCAGTACTGGAGACTGACCTACGGGTGGCGCTCACCAGGGACCTTCCACAAGTTCCACATTACCCAGTGGGGGCCAGGCCATCCACATAACCCAGCCGGGCTCAGCTGATCATCTCTGGGGTTAATGTCCAGCAGTGGAAACCTAGCTGATACCACCAGGAGGCAGTGTTGGAAACTTCTGGTAGATCAGACACTGCTGCAAATGAAGCTGTTACAGAAGTCAGAGACCTCCATAGCAGTGTCAAGTTTGACAGTATATTTTGATTTAGTTTTAGTCTTACGACAGAAATGCAACTTGGTTTTAGACATGTTTTAGTCAACAAGAATTACTGGACAGTCGACTAAATCTACAGTACATGCAATCAATGACACTAGCAGGTTTAGTCATAGTCTAATACATTTTCACTTATTTTTCTGCGTACACATACTGTACACACACACACACACATTCATCTACCTCTACCCACGCTAGATTTCTGAAGGAAATCTCTGTAATGCTATTTTTATGGCATAGCATTAAGTTAAACATGCTGTTCCCCCTGCTATTTCCACTCCGCATGGCTTGTTTTCTTTCATATTAAATGTGAAATTTATTAAATTATGTTGGAATATTTTTTCCAACCTAAAGCCAACTGTGGCACATACAGACTTGGGGGGGGGGTATCTAATTTTTCATACCATCCAGAGATTACATGTATGAATGGTGTTTATTGTATTTTCAAAAGCACTGCTATTCTTATTTTTAAATCTTGCCAATAAAATTCACCGAGCTGGAAAGGAGGACCCAAGACAAAATACTCCCAAGTCTGGCAGAGATATAATGGCACAAGAGTTTACAGACAGACATTATAGCCAGAACTGTATTTTTCTACACGCTTGAAGCCAATTAAATAAACACTATCCAATCATGAGCAATTACAATCAACACTAACTAAAGATGCTACTTCTGATTGGATCAGTTTCAAATTTGTCTCTTCCTGACATTTTCATTTAGTCTTTAATTTGCTGATGATACAACGGAAAGACTATGGGGGTGAAATCTGTCCAAAAGTATTTAAAGTAATGGATGTTGCTGGAGTGACACAGGTGACTCTTCCCTGTTGAGCAGGCTTGGACTGGCCATCTGGCATGGCAGGTTTCGTCCATCTGGGCTTATGGGTTTGTAGGCCAGCAAAATGTATTAATGGGAAACCCCCCCACCCAATCAGCAAAATTCATTATGGGGGACCTAAACGTCCAGCCTTGATGTTGAGTGGAAGGGAGCTGATGACTCTTTCCCGTTTATTGCACATTCTGCTTCTATGCCAAACTTCCATGCCGAATTTGCACGATGCTTCCCCACCAATCATGTGGTTCATTGTCTTTCTTCTATCTATGTGTTAACATCCATGTCAACGTCCATGCCACCGTGATCCTCACCAGGAACAGCAGGGAGAAGATGTGATTAGATGATGTGGAGTGACAGAGCAAGAAACAGGAAACTCATGTAGATTTGCTCTTCTATTAGCTAGCTGAATGGAACAGGATCATACCAGCAACTATTACCAAATCACAATGGGGAACAAACAAGATACCAATTCATCACAGGACACACACTTAATGTCATACATTACAGAAAATTTAGAGACGCCAAACTAAGGACCCATGGAGAACACGCAATCTCTATAAAATCAGGTGAGAGATTTAAATCCCCGACCCTGGGGTGTGAGGGGGCCAATTTAGCGTGAATAATTTATTTAAATATTGTACTGTTTTTCCTTGGGTGACACAGTAAACTGACCGCGAAATGCTATCAGTCAGCTATCAGCAAAGTCTAAAGCAGAAACATTTAAAAATGTGCCTAAAGGACCGAACATATTGGTTTGCGTTTTGAAAAATGATTCGATCTGTTCTGCATAAGTATTATCATTTTGTATATAGTATACAGAACAACAGTAATTTCTTTATAGCGGTTTACTCGTTTTAGAGCAAATGAATAATTTACAGTATTACAAAGAGGTAAGTTTGGTAGGCCTACATTAAAAGCGGTACACAATCCCAGGGTCGTAATGGAATAATTAGGTCCTTTCGATACATTGCAGGTGACTATGAGTGTTATCGTACTTATCATTTCCATCCATTCCAAAAGTTTCCTAAAACACTTTAAAAGTTTAATAACACGCAGGTACACATGCGTAAGCAGTTAATGTTAGATGGGTAAGCCGCTCACGTTCGTTGACGGAAGTCCGGCCGCACTACAACACCCACAATGCCCCGCTCTGTTTATATGTCTTCGCCACTTCCTAGTTTAACGTAAATCATCCAGATATTCGCGTGCTCATGGATTTTCTTTTAATTAAAGTTATATGGCTTTGTTTGAGACGTAGTTTTTAAAACCCATGTTGTGCATATTTGCGAACATCTTCAGTTAGAACTGTGAGAGGTAAAGCCAAACGGCGAGCCGTCCATTCGCCGCCGTTTAAATTTCCCGCTGCGCTGAGCGCCTCAGTCTGCAGCTCTTTACTCAGCCAGTCTGATCTGTTTATACAAAGCGGTTCTCCACCGGTAATCACTCGCAAGATCTGTCTCACCTCGCGTCTGGCAGACTGACAGATTTTATTTGCTGCAAAATGCAGACGACGGATATAGGAAATAAGGAGGACGGGAAAATCTGGCATCGAAAACCTGCACCTTCGCCAAGTAATAACGGGTGGGTAAAAGTTGCATTCAACAAGACCTTACGGCAAGATTATGGAACTGTTAGTGCTCGGAAATGTGAACACGATCGCAGTAACGGGTACTTTATAACACACTCAACATAACAGTAAATTAGTCGTAATTACCGACCTTATGTCTTATGGCGGTTATTGTGATATTGTTTCTGGTTTGATCGAGATGATTCGTTTGTGTGTGTCTTCCGCTTCGTTGCTCTTGATCTGAAGTGTTTAACATTGATCTGTATATATGACGTTTTGTTTATTGTCCTACAGGTTTAATGTACTCTTACACGCAGCACCACAAGTTAGGTTTACTTAGATCACTTAGGGCAGGGGTAGCCAATCTTATCCGCAAAGGGCCGGTGTGTATGCGGGTTTTCGCTGCAACTCCCTAATTAGATTACTGATTGGCTGAAAGAGTCCTCACACCTGGGTTTCAACAGCTGACCTACAGGTTATCCCAAAAACCTGCATACACACCGGCCCTTTGCGGATAAGATTGGCTACCCCTTGACTTAGGGAATACAACTAGCCACACTGTTAGATTTTGTAAACTTGCAACATTGTAATTGTAACCAGGGATTTATATGTTGAACATGTGTTTTCCATACAAAGCAGGTGTGAAAACCTTTTTGAAAGAAGTTGATGAAGCTCCAGTAGTTTGTTACAGTATTACCATTAGACTTGTAGGGATAGTTGTCCACTAGATGTACATCTACTTCATTGTCCAGGTGTAAATGTTGTATTCAGCATGTCCAATGTGTCCATCTCCACATGTGCCTCGTTGGTGACAGAGTGATGGTGACCATAATCCAGAGTGCCACCGCTTACCATTCGAGAACAGTGCGGTTCCTGCAGGTGGCTTTCGATGCTACGGGAGAGGCCTTTCTGGCTGGTGATCACCACGGAAACATCTATGTTTTCGATATTGGGAGAAACAGGTAAATTGCTCTCGCAGTGGACATACAAACTTGTGCATCCCTGGAGATTAGATATATTTTTCAACAGTTTGCAGGGTTGCCAACTTTCCCACATCTGGCGTGATGCTCACGCTTTCTGACTCTCACATCCATGCAAGAAATCTTCCAGCAAATCTATATTATTCCATTATAAACCTAAAAATATCTACGCCAAAAGCATCTGGGCAGTGTGCAAACCCCACAGACTGTTTACAAGGTAATATAAATCTTACATACATGTAAATGACGTGTTTCAGGTTGAAAATCTCATGGCAGCCAGCTGACCAAAGTCTGCAACCCTGCAGTCTGTGTTTATATTGCTTTTATATGACATTTTAGCCATTCGATCATTTAATGTTATGATCTGCTGTTCCCGATAGGTTTAAACTCATTCAAAAAACAGGACAAGCATGCACAGCCATGGCCTTTAATTTGCGCAGGACGACAGAGTATTTGGTCGCCCTGGCTGATTACTCCATCAAGTGCTTTGATAAAGGTATTGATTGATTGAAAAAGGAATTGGTTATTTATCAGTTGATAAAGGTGGTGATTGGTTGGTTGGTTGGTTGATAAAAAAAACTTACTGGTCAGTCGTAATCTTTTCAGGCCCAAAAATTCTGTCCCTTTCACTTTTCTCCATTTTAGGATATAAATACTTTGTCTGGTGGTAAAGTGCAATTTTTTGTGTGTGTGTGTGTGTGTGAGCGAGCATGTGCCTGTTTGCGAGCGTGCGTGCGCGCATGCATGTGTGCGTGCGTGCGTGCGCGCATGCGTGCATTTGTGTGGGGGTCATGTACAGTGCCCTCCACAATTATTGCCACCCCTTAGAGAATATCCACCTTTTGCTGAAGTATCTTAATCTCACGCTCTAAAAAATGAAATCCAACCTTTCATTGAAATAAATTTAATCAAAGAAAAAGAAATCTGTCATCAATATATTTTTTCTTTTTAACAAAAACACGTGCCACAATTATTGGCATGGATAATATAGTGAACACCATGTAACCGAAGCATGTTTCCCATGTAAATTGTACATCTTTGATTGGAGTGTGTAATCCATGACTTCCTGATTAACTGGGATACAAATATCTAAACTAAACTTAACTAAAACTGGGCCATCACTGGATCTTCCAGCAGGACAATGATCCCAAGTACATGTTCAAATCAACATAAAAATGGTTAGTTCACCACAGAATCAAGCTTCTGCCATGGCCATCTCAGTCCCCTGACCTGAACCCCATTGGAAACCTGTGGGCTGAGCTGAAGAGCAGAGTGCACAAGAGAGGACCTAGGACCCTGGGTGATCTGGAGAGATTCTGTAAAGAGGAATGGGCTGGGATACCCTGCTCTGTATTCTCCAACCTGATATAATGTTATAGGAGAAAACTCAGTGCTGTTATACTGGCGAAGAGAGGTTGTACAAAGTATTAAGGTGGATATTTTCTTAACCTTTGTACAAATCTTAACAAGGGGTGCCAATAATTGTGGTAGGCACTATATATATTACGTTGTGGGGACCAAATGCCCCCACAATGTGATAAAGACCTGTTATTTTGAAATTGTAGGGACCACCTTTTCAGTCCCCACAAGGGGAAACTCAATTTATTAAAAACCTGTAACTGCAATAATAAATTAATAAATAAAATGTAAAAATGGCAAAAATCCTCGCATGGTTGTGGAGCAGTATTGCAGGTGTGTACGGTTAGGCCTGGGTGGGGGTTAAGGTTGTCATAGCTGAAATTAGGGTTTTTCCTATAGAAATGAATGGAGAGTCCCCACAAAGATATGAAGACAAATGTGTGTGTGTGTGTCAGACACGAGGCAGCTGGTGAGCTGGATGAGGGGCCACGACGGCGCGGTGTCCTCCATGTCGGTGCACGGCTCCGGCCGCTACGCTGTCACCACCTCGGCCGACGCGGCTCAGCTCTGGGACCTGGACACCTTCCAGAGGAAGCGGAAGCTGAACGTTCGCCAGGCCGTGGGCATCCGGAAGGTCATTGGCAGGGGCGACGCTGAGGGGAGCCCTCGATGGGCCCAGAATCTGAGCGTGTTTAACCTCAAACATGATGCCTCATCAGAACCACTCCTGGGAAATATCTGCCCTATAAATGAGCAAAAATCACTTTGGATGAAAGCGAAGCGGCTGAATGTCAGCATAATTTAGATTTTCTCAGCAGAATATTTTTTGGGCTTGAGATATGATTTGTTTACTTGCAGTCCCATGACATGACGACACTGAGGTTTAGTGCTACAAGTCCTGCTGGTGGTTGATGATTCATCGTTAGCAGAGTAACAAATTAACGGACTAATTACTACCTGGAAGGTATCTCAAAAGCGTCTGACCCAACTTAATGTTCCGCAGTCCCTGTCACAGACCGCTGGGTGACTCGTGACCTAGCGACAGTGTTCGCATGTACTTACGGCGAGTGTCATCGTAATAGTCTGATGATGCAGATAAGATTGGGCTTCAAACCAGCACCGTTGGGTCGTTTGCCATTTGTCTGTATGTGTATTTTCCTCCCAGGTTTTCTTCCTGCCTCGGAGTAACACAATCCTTAGCTGCTTTAGTGACGACACCATCTTCGCCTGGGAGAGTGACACGCTGTACTGTAAATACCAGCTACCCACGCCAGGGGAGGGGCCCAAGATGGGCTATAGAGCATTTGCGGTCACACGGTCAGTACTGGTTTTGGGGGTGCTGTGATCGTCCTTTAATCCATCTGCAAGGTTAACGATAATCCATCCACCAGAACAAGAAGATGAAATCGCAAGCCATGCAGACAGCGGTAGCCATAACACTTGGCTAATGAACAATATGCTCTAGATAATGGTGAAATGGTTGAAAAGCTAGTAATCTGTCTTTTACTGTTATCCGTACCATCACATGGTTGTGGAGCAGTGTGGCAGATGTGTACCGAGCTAAAGAGCAGTGCAAGGTGTGTAAGAGGCTCTGTGCACGCGCAGGGATGGGCGGATTCTAGCGGCCGGTGGCCGCTCCAGCCTCCTCCACCTGTGGTGTCTGGACAGCCAGCAGCTCCTCAGGGCCGTTCAGATGCCCTCCCAGGTCAGGACCGTGCGGCACCTGGAGTTCCTGCCTGACAGCTTCGACGGTGGTTCCAGCCAAGTATGTTCGCTAATGCTAATTTGCTAATGCTAACTTACTAGCAGCATAAAACCAGACAAATATCTGCAGCGTAGATTTGAGTATGGATGGTAGGGACAATATTGTGGGAGTACCGTGTGTGTATGGGGGGGGGGGGTTAAGGTTGATTTGGACTCTAGCAATGTTGAAATGAAACCTACCCTCTTGCAAATGGTGAAGCTTTTTTATGTAACGTCAATCTAGTCAAGATCCTATCGCTCCCGTGTGAATTTCATTTAGGTTCAGTTGTACATTTTCCCCCTAATTCTAAATGTTTCTTCTCAGGTGCTGGGAGTTTTGAGCCAAGATGGCATCATGCGGTTCGTCAACATCCATAGCTGCAAGCTCCTCTTTGAAGTGTGTAGCCATGACGATGGCATTGCCTCCGCAGCCATCAGCCCAAGTGGCCGCCACCTCGTGACCATCATGGCGAGCGGGGCGCTAAACATCTACAGCGTCCAGGCCCTGACACGGGACATCAATAGGGTATGAGCACGTCTCCACCGTGGGGGTGAACGTATGGGACCAGAGAGCTTGGCTGTCAGAGTCAGATTTCTGACATGGGAGAAGATGTTTGACTGCTGTCAGAGTAACAGGATCTTCTCAGATCAAATTCTATATTTCTCAGTTTTATTAATCTACAAACAGTCCAGGTTCACGTGAAGTATGAAGTTTATTTAAATGGATTTAGCCATGTAAAGAAGGTAACTGCATATGTTTGCTGTTCTCCCTGGTCCAGTGTAACTTCATGTTGTTGGGATGAGCACTGGGATGATATTTCTGCATCGTTCCTCATACCCAGACCAGTAGCAATGTTGGCCCAGTGAAATTCAGAAACATGTCCTCCTTGAACCCTGAGAACGACAGGGAGAAGGTTGCTTTATTTTGTGATTTTTATGAGGTCCCTTGTTGCTTCCTTCCAGCCCCCGGCCCCCCTGGTGAAAGTGGTGACCACCCCAGGCCAGGCAGACAGCTCCAGCATGACGGCGCGGGTCCCAAGCAAGTCCGTCTGGCGGCCCACCAGAACATCTGGACGTAAGGTCCAGACTCGGGCCTCCAAACCACCAGTCACCTCCCTACCAGAGGACAAAGAGGTGAGTAGCGGTCAGTTTGTCCTGTACGTTTGGATTCTTGATTTAATTATGTAGCAGTTGATGAACGGGGCCGGTTTTTGGCTCAGATAGTTATGCCCTGTGACCGGAAGGCCACCAGTTCAGCTGTCTGACTGCTTTCTCAAGAATGTTTGTCGTTTTAGATAATGGTGCCTGCTAAAAAAAATGAAATGTAAATGAATTCTGATCATTTATATCATACTACATACCAGATTCTCCATAGTTTTTCTTTTTTCCTCTGTGTATTTGAAATAACTTTAATTTTATTCGTATTTTGAAAGAACATACCTTATGCTAGTCTTTCCCAAACCAGGGCTCGAGGCACACTGAACAGGTGCAACATTTTTCTTTTATCCCAGTTCCCAGCACACCTGTAAGACATTTAAAGTTCCTGATTGCTTGGGTCAGGTGTTCTGGGAACTGGGATAAAATAAAAATGTGGATCTGTCAAGGGTGCCCCGAAGACTGGTTTGGGAATCACTGTCTTGCACACAGTTGAATAGCTGGGATTAGCTCAGGTAGCTATGATACCCACTTTGTTAGTATTCCAGTGACCGAGTTTGACCTTGCAGAATGAAATGCCAGACCCACTGAATAAGAAGAGACTCCGGGCTTTGCTGAAGACATTTGGGGAATACCCTGCCAGATACAGGTAGGGGAATCCCGGGTTGGCAGCGTGTGTGACACGTGTCACGAGGACCCTGTAATGCTAGTCTGCCTTCCATCCTTTTCGACAGGATGTTCATCTGGCGCTCCCTCCTGCGTCTGCCAGAGAACTGCCCGTCCTTCAGCAGCCTGACGGACAAGGGGCAGCACTCGGCCTTCGTGAGCCTGCAGGAGCGCTACCCCGTGAAGAGTGCCAGGCTGCAGCGTGGCCTGCAGAGGTGCCCTGCACGCCGCCAGCCTGCCGCATGGGCACACCGCGGGCATATCACTCTGCCTCACAGATGCCCGGGAGGCGCTCACCACTGATGCCCTGCAGATTCAGATGCCAGAAGTTAAATCTGCTCATGTAACAGACACACACATGCGTGCTCACAGTATTCCCGTGCTGTACATGTATGTAGAGAGTTCATGCTTCTGGAGGAGAGTTGTACTGTTGTTAGTGTGGATACATATAGTGCCTGGATTTGTGAGTGATGATTGGTCAGGCTTTAGTTCTGGAAAATGCTCCAGTCTGTGTTCCGGTGTCCCATGCCGCTAACTGCTCGTCGTTTGTTGCCACACAGGGTCCTCTCTGCCCTCGCCCACTGGTCGGCCATCTTTGGGGAGACCGAATACCTTCCCCTACTGGCGTTTCCCTTTGTCAAACTGTTCCAGAACAACCCCCTCGTCTGCTTCGAGGTGATCGCCACAGTCATAGGTGCGTCCCGGTGCCCCGAAAGTCAGCCGGATAATCAGCGCCGCGTTCTGTCACTCTGCTCAGTGCTGCCTTCTGCCTTTCGCAGTGAACTGGTGCCAGCACTGGTTTGAGTACTTCCCCAACCCTCCTCTGAACGTCCTCAGCATGGTGGAGAACGTCCTGGCTCATCACGACAAGGAGCTACTCCAGCATCTGGTCCACTGTGGTGTCACATCTCAGGTGTGCAGATGTGAGCCGACTCCTGATGCAGCCTGAATGCGTTTTCCGTTTGCTACTTTTACTGTAGGTTAAACTTTGGGTCCTTAAGTGCTATGCCTCCTGCTGGCCAAATGGTGTATTAACAAGAGACCTTGGGAAATCCCCTGGGCTGGGATCATCCCACCCTGTCTGTCCTGCAGCTGTACGCTTGGCCTCTCCTGGAAACCCTCTTCTCTGAGGTGCTGACGCGAGATGAGTGGCTGAAGCTGTTCGATAACGTTTTCTCCAACCACCCTGCCTTCTTGCTGCTCGTCGTGGCATCGTACGTGACGTGCAGCCGCGTGCCGCTGCTGCTCTGCACCCGCAGGGAAGACTTCCAGGTCCGCCCCCGCCGCATATCGCCATGACGACACTACTCCGGTTCTTTTCCCGACAGCTGAACCCTGGCGTGATGAAGGACCACCTGCCCAGGGGTGGGGGAGGGGTCTCACAGCAGGCGGAGCTGATGGGGGGGGCCTCAGTTAAATTTGCTGCTGGTGGGGGGGGGGGGGTTGGCTGGGTTTGGTAAAATGTTGCAAATTTCACATTTTTGTCTGTTATCAAAAGGGGCACTCAGTAAGTTTTGTAGTGTGCAGTGAGACCCCTGCCATGATAGACCTGGGGGTGAATGCCCCTCTGCCACCCCCCCCCCATGCAATAAAACACAAACCCTGTAGATTTGATTAGTGCCAGATATTGACAGGTGATACAAATGAAGTGTGTTAGTGTGTAATATGTTATATGGTATATTTGAGTAATAAAGTCAAATAGAACTGAACTGGCAATTCACAAGCTTTTACCCACTTTGTGTGAGGAGCCCATCCTGGGGTTTCCGAAAGGCGTTTGGTTTAAAGAGAGGCCTTTAAGAAGAGCATTCTGCTAAACCGTGCAAAAAAAAAAAACCCCCGCAGTATTTCTTCCATCACCGAAACAACCTGGACATGGGCGCCGTGATCAGGGAGGCCTACCAGCTGATGGAGAGCACCCCTGAGGAGATCCATCCCCAAAACCTGCTGGCTGACTTCGAACCCCTGACCCAGGGCCAGTATCCCATCTTCAACAAGTACCCCACCTTTGTCGTGGAGTACCGGACACAGGAGCGCGAGAGGATACGTCAACAAGAGCTGGAGTACCTGAGAGAAAGGTATGGGGCTGGGTGTAGCTTAACATGCTAGGGATCCGTGCCCAAATACAGAAGGCTGTGTGTTTCAGTCCCATGGCAAGTAAAGGGATCGCATCAACCTGTTCTGTTTGCTGTTCCGTTCTATGCTGTTCAGTTCTGTTCTTTGCTGTTGTCTTCTGTTCTGTTCCTCTTTGAGCAGTACATTTAAATGTAAGTTTTATGTCACACCGAGCTGATCTATTGTAGCCTTACTATATCCCTGGCAGTCTCCCATCGAGTTCCATGTTCCCTCTAGTGGCGGGCTGTGGGTGTTGGCTCCGGGCAGGGGTTAGTCCCGGCCTAAGCGAGGACACGATTTCCGCAGGCAGGCTCTGCAGGAGCTGAGGGCGGAGGCGGTACGTAGGCGGGCGGAGGACGAGGCGTGGCACGCGCAGCAGGAGCTGCTCCGGGAGGAGGAGGAGCGGCGCAGGAGGACGCTACGCGGGGAGGAAGAGCGGCTGGCCGAGCAGCGCCGCAGGTCTGCGTCCACTTCGCCTCACTGTTCTATATCACCCTCCCACTTTTTTTTTTTTTAAATTTTACGTTAAATAACAGTCCCGTGACACACTCAGGTTGGCCGCCATGAAGCGGGAGCTGAAGGCGAAGGAGCTCCATCTGCTGGACACGGCCAGGAGGCGCTTCCTCCACCAGCAGCAGGAGCAGAAGAGGGCGGAGCTGCGGAGGCTGGACGAGGAGATCGGGAGGAAGGTGCGTCCCGGTATACGCGGCGGGGCGTGGTCATGGGGCCGGTCAGGCCCTGGCTCTGACGCAGTCCCCCCCCCGTCCCAGCAGGCGTCCCTGAGGGTGCAGGAGACCGCGGCTGCGGTGCAGGATGTCGAAGTGCGTCAGATGGAGCTGCAGGCCCAGAGGAGGCTCTTCGAGCAGGTCAGCCGGGGGTCTGTGAGCTCCTACTGAGTCGTATGGAAATGCGTGGCGTCCGCAGAAACATGCTGTACTCCCATGAGGTGCCATTAGCCACCACATTACTCTGCTTCACTCTTCATTGTCTCCATTTCTTTCAACAAGAGAAGTTCTAAATGATTTTCTCAGCATCAGAACCATCCCCAGAGTCAAAAAATGAAAGGGGAGTCGTCTTTATTCATAAACATCATCAGTCAACCTGTTATGCGACATAGGCCGCTGCCTAGGGCACCAACTGGTGACGTAGATGATTTAGCAAGTCAGTTTGACTTTGTTGTGGGTAGGGGGTGTCTGCAGGGAGGTGGGCCTGGGTCCGTAAGTATTATCAAGTCACACGTTAGGGGTCCCTTCAGTCTGGTTTCATTTGGTAGTTCCCAGTTAAGGGAATGTTGAAAATCCTGGATTTGTAGGAGTGCTGGTGATCCTGACCCAGCCCATTAAAGACGCTAGTTTGTTTCTAAGAGCCTCAGATTGAAATATGAAAATATTACATTTTAACATATCATATGAGACACCTGGTAATATTATTTTTCGTTGTTAGCTAACAATTTTACAAAACTGCAATTACAGAAACATTTTTATCCATTTTTGTCCTGAGACTTGACCCAACAACCTTCCGTTTATCCTTCGATGTCCAAGCTACCTGCTTTGTGTGGAAATGGGACATTCAACACACGTCTTGCTTGCAGCAATTGGCCAAAGAGCAGGAGAGAGTGACGCAGGAGGTGAGGGCAGAGGCGGTTGCTTGGCAACGCCACGCGGAGGAGGAGGACGAGTCCGCCTACCGGCGGCTGCTGGAGGAGGACCCCAACTGCGGCCTGGGCCTCAGGAAGGTGAGCTGAGTCAGTCACTCAGGTACTGTTTATGTTACATGTATGTTTATTTAGCAACCTGAAATGTTTGTTAGAACCTAAAATCAGTACCGAGTGTGAACACCTAATGTGTGTCGAAATGTTTCAGAAATGCTTATTTTAAAGGCATACTTCCATCTGCATTTTTATTTATTTATTTATTTTTTACAGATTTTTAAACTATTGTAAATAAATAAATTTGGGGTGGGGTATTTTGTGGTTTGTAGTACTTGAGATTGGTAGTAATTCTCAAATTTCAAAATAGGGTTTAATGAATTGAAGGGTAACATCCCAGTTAAATCCCATTTGATGGTGTGATTGGTGGGGCAGTCACCATCATCAGGGATACAGAATGTTGGGGGGGCTCATTCCCGCTCTGTCATCCCAGGCGCTGGAGGAGTCCCTGGCAGAGGCGGAGCAGCTGCAGGCGGGGGCTGAGCTGAGGGCAGAGGTGCTGGGCCGCCTGGAGCAGGTCAATGGAGAGCGGGGGAGGGACCGGCGCTGGATGGCCGCTAGGAGTGGAGAGGCAGACGCCTCAGAAGAGCAGCTGATTGAGGCCATGAAGAAGATGGAGAGCAGGAAGGTGACAGTAGGGGGCGCAGTAGGGCAAGGGTTCTTCTGGAAAGTAAGCGAGCCCCTTGTGTGGTTTTACGACAGCAGGTAGGACCTGTTAGCAGTGGTGGTGTTTACCACCAATCAAACCATGCATTTGCACGGGGGCCCTGAGGTCTGGAAACCCGCGGTGGGGGGGGGGGGTCCTGCAATGAGCTTTGATACACAAACCCCCCCACTGTCAGTAGGACCCATATTGTACTCCAATGATTCCTATATCAGCAGTAACAGGTCAGTGTCTCACGTAAGATGCAACTTCACTAATCTGTCATGTGATGTTCATAACTCATTTATTTGCATTAATGTGCAAGTTCTTAGTCTGCTGCTGTAGTCATGAGCAAGATACTGAACCTAAGCTTTAGAGAGAGGGAATCCAGCCGTGAAAAAAGGGAGAAGCATTTGTCACTTTGGATAAGAGCCTCACAGAATGATAAGTCACAGTGCAGTTCACTTCCAGGCCTGTAACGCCTGAATGGTCTGTTTGAGGCTTTTATCAGAATAATGATAATCCACATGAACACAGAGGTGTGTGTGCATGGAGGGGAGGGGGGGGGGTTGTGCCTGTTTCCTGACTGCGGGGGCTGTGTTTTTCTGTGTAGTGGGAGGAGGTAGAGAGGAGGATTCAGCAGGAGGATGAGGCCCAGGCTGGGAGACGGACGCTGGCAATGCGGAGCCAGAGGGAGCGACGGTGTGGGGATGAGGGCCAGTCACTCGGTGAGTTTGGAGCCGAGACCATGAGAGGCAGCGGGACTGCTTTAGCACCCGGGGCTGGGAGATGCTGATGACGTGTGTGTGTGTGTGTGTGTGTGTGTGTGTGTGTGTGTGTGTGTGTCTGTCTGTCTGTCTGTCTGTCTGTCTGTCCCTTTCAGACGTGTGCTGGTCTCCCTGCTCACCCAGACGACACGAAGCAGCCCCCCAGCATCGGGGGCCCGATGCCATCCGCCTGAGCGACCGGTCCTCCACAGACGAGTCTGTGCTCACAGACAGCAATAACACGCCCCTCAGTTTAGCGCAAATATATAGTAATATATAAGCATTAGAGCACCATGTATTTGAAGTAAGTGGGGGCAGCGTGTGGCTCAGTGGGCTAAGCCTCTGTGCCTGCGATCACAAGGTCGCCGGTTCGAGTCTGGCCTGCCCTGCCTTCTGCCCTTCCTGGTCAGCTTGCTCTACATCTAGGGAGAGCAAACTGGGGGAGGCGTAAAGAGAATTTCCCCACAGAGATCAATAAAGTACTTATTATTATTATTATTACTACATATAATGGTGGGAGAAGCCTTACTAGTATGAGATCTTAAGCTAAATATATATGGCAGATGACCTTTAATCCCACCTAAGAGGGGTATCACACCTCTGTTGCTAAGAAAGGCTTTGGCTCCCAGAGGGCTGAGCTATCCTGTGCTGCCGGTCACAACACTGGCTGGACCAAGGTAGCCTGTGTCTGTCTGCTCCAGGGTCCTACAAACTATGGTATTAAAGCATCGCTTTCTGTTAAGTAACATCGTAGCACGGCTGACCTGGCGCCGCCGGTTCCGTTTGGCCCAGTCTCTCTCGACAGGTGCCGGGCCGAGCTGGACTGCAGGGAGCGGGAGCTGATGCGGGACGTGCAAGAGCTGCGCCGAAAGCTGTCCGCCCGCGCCAGAGCAAACGCGGGAACCCCGTCCCTGTGAAGGCAGCCCACGCCAACCCACAGGGATCCAGAGCTCACATCGGCAGGGGCGCCGTCCCTCTGAAGGTATCCTGCAGGGACC